GCTTAATTTAGTCAAATTTAAGATTATTAAACATGATCGCAATAAATTACGTCCGGGACTTTTAAATTTATATGGGTTTACTTGTATGCTCTTAAATAAAGTATCAAGGTAGACGGAAAAACTATAGGGTGACAATTAGCCCATATGGTTAATTTTAATCTAGTTAATAATGCGAATAGTACAATATTATACTAGTTAATTGTAGTATCATTAGTTTTAACAATGTAGCATTTAATTGTAATTTACGTACTTTATATACTAGTCATATAACACACAAACCAATGGTAATGTATAGTAAGAAAAGGGACCAAAAGTTGGTGTAAAAGGTATGCCATTTAAATGCCGATCGCAAACAAAAACAAAACGTAAGTCATGTTTGGCTTTCACTTAACACTCAATGCATTGAATGAAACACAACAACAAAAATCACAATTCATTGCAATAAACATCTTATGATTGACTCAATTATATTGCGATTACATTACGATTCATAACAAATAAAGCGATTAATCAATTGTATTGTCACTCGTATTGCGTGACTCATAGCTTGTCATNTATTGTCACTCGTATTGCGTGACTCATAGCTTGTCATCGCTGGTGATGACACCGACGACACCACCAGAAGAGAGACAATATGAGCGCTAAAGAGGAATACGATTTACTGCAGCAAACGCTACCATTGCTGACATCACAGCCAAACCATTTGGCCAAACACGAGGTCGTCTCCATCATCAAGTGTCTCAACAGATGGTATGTCTTCGGCGGCACATCCGGTGACCAACAAGTGTTTGAACATTGATTTGAATGCTTTGTCTCTATGTTTTCAGTGAGAAGACAATCCTTCAGTTCGCCGAAAGCGAGCGCACATTCTTCGCCCCATTTGTGGCACTCTCTGGTCATTGCATTGTCTCCAATGCACAGCAAAGTTAGTGTTTGAATCGCTTCCCTCTCACTCCCGAAGAGGGAGTACTCATTGATATTGATGTGTGTGTTATGTGTTTCAGTACCCAAAAGCCTGCTGTCAGTGGCCTCCACGGCCTGCACTGTCGTCTTGCAGCACATCCTACACGAGATCTCCGAGTTTGACGACAAGTCCATACTATCCAAAGTATTGAATCAATGCTACCATTCATTGGTCACGCATATAATGCCATTATTTTGGTTACTTTTGTCAATAACAGCACCAACTGATTGGCATAATTCAGGGCCTCTGCGATGACATACCGCCGCTCCTTAAGTCGGATATACTGGCGCTGAGTTCGCTGCTGAAGACCACACCAATGCCCGACTCATTGACGTTCAGACCCACCGATTCGAGTGGCGCTGAACTGAAGGCCGCCGCTCGCGATGACACCACACCCAAAGAGCCCAAACGCATACGTCTGGACCACTCGTGCGAAGCCATCATTGAACAACTCATGACACCAATCATGGAGTCGTCGTCCAAACGGGACAGTCATATGGAGAACGATAAGAACATCATATCTCCCGTCGGCTTCTCTTCGCTATCGATGGACACGAAAGTAATTGTGCTTTAATTTGATGTCAATTATGAATGTGTTAATTGTTGTATTGTTTTAATTGATTTCAAGGGTCTATTGATTGGCAAGAATTTGTTTAATTTGCAACAACTGTGCGGAACGAATGTATTGCTCGACTTTATAATGTCTTTGTCGACAATCAAACCGTTCATACAATTAGTTCACGCGACAGAAGAAGGCGCGCCCCTAAAGCTGCCCACCTCTGGCCCGGAGACCCATATACTCCATACATGCAAACTGATCATCAAAGACTACGACATCATTTGGCGCATACTATCGCTGCCAATACTGGAACCGTTGACCGAAGAGCGTCTCTCCAAAGTGATTACAATAATACACGCGTGTCTTTACGTGTCGCTAACGCTAACCGCGTCCAACATCTTGGCCTCCGGTGGCGGCGCCTCCTCTCCCGCCGTTAAGGGAGCGACCGCTGCGCCCCTCAAAGACGACGACAACGAGAATGTTATCTCTGAGATCGTAGACACGAGTCTTG